GATTTGAACAATGTGCACTGGATCACTAGAAACTCCCACATTTAGCCTACAAGTATTGCACACAGGGCTGTGGCACTCTCAGGGGGCTGCACTGCTGCAGTGTGCCATTGGGAAGGCAGCCTGGGGCCTGAAGTGCAAATCCTCATCATAAAGGCCTGCAAAGTGCTGAGGTGTTTTCCAGTGGAATTATCCCACCAAAAGCATGCTTCCTATTCACAGGATAATTTAAATAACTTAGTCTCAATTCATTTCATTATGAATCATAAAGTTATCTTAATGTCAACTGGAAAAGGTGGTAAGTTTCTGCTAAAAATTGCAAAAAGAAATTATTAAGGATACGCTGTTTTTCAGATATCCAAGTTCTAAAGGAATTGTCAGTGTGAACTTTCAAAGGAAGTTGGCAATCTCTCTATTCACCTCAGTAACTGTACATTTCGGTTGTTTACTTCTTCCTTTGCTACAGTTATTTTGTTATTCCATTGCATGTTAATGTTCCATACGCTTTAAGATCATAATTTTTGATCCACAACGTTTTGCACAATATTTAGATGTTATATTTACCAGCAACATCTAAGAAAGGAGACAACTACAGTAGAACTATTAGGAAAGATTGAATATTAAGGTAGAGGTTAGGACAACTACTGACTGCATGTTGTCAGCAAGCAATTAGTACAAGTGCATCAACTTTATTTTATGCTATGTTCAAAAATGGCTTTCTAATAGAAATATTTTTCTTCATATCTCAACCAAGTGATGTAGGGGCCCTATGATTTGGCATAAGGAGATAGCATCTCTCAACCTCCAGCTCCACGACACCTCCCAACAGCAGGTCAGAGCTCAAGCAGCTGCATGGGGGAGAGTCTGCCTATGTGGGGGCTGACTGTAGCTTTCTTGAATAAGCACAATCAGAAGGAAAAAAAAACATTGTAAATATTGCTGTACAAACGAACTGATGAAGTTGCAGTTTTGTCTGACACTTGTCACTGCTAAAGCACATCCAATAAACCTCAGGGTCGAACTCACACGGATGTTCTCAGCTGTGATAAAGGCCTAAGATGCCTAATGTCTCCTAGCAATGCCTCTAACTGCCACCTAGTTTGCTGTTATGGATGGGGTGAGCTAGAGCTCAAAATAATAACCTGTAAGTAACAGTAATGACTGAACTGATGGTTGAACTGGACTTCACAAGTATTAGAAGAAAAACACTTAGGTGCTTTCAACAAATATCCAACACAAGAGTGGTCACTACAAAAATATAAATAGCTTCATCAAGAACAACAAATCAAAATATGCATTTCATTATCTGGTTTTCATGCAATATTATGCTTCTAAGCTTCCTAATCATTAAGGGCTTTTCTTTTTGTTTTTTTGGCCACAGGCACAATTAATGAGGCACTTTAAGATCACACTGAGTTTAAACAGGACATGGCAATTAAATGGCATTTATGTTTTATCATGTTATAATTAAATAAAGATGAAAAGTGAATTTATCATTTATAAACTGATTAATGAAGTGTGCTGTGTTGATTAATGAAGAGTACTTTATGAAGACAGAAATTGATTTTAATATAATTCAGCAATTTAAAGAGTAGTAGAGAATAGGCCTGGAATGAACCACAAAACTTGTCACTTGCGTTCCCCTAACCTAAAGGAAAGATTAAATTTTCCCTCCACATCATCACCTCCAAGTAAGAGCTTTTTTGGGATACATTACAATCTAGCTGTTACCTTATGTCTTCTTATCCTGTAGTTTGTTCAGGTACTCACATGCAAGTATGAGCAGGTCTTTGAAAAGTAAAAATTTGCCCAAAAGTCAAAAAAGTTGGGGGAAAGATAGCACTTTCTATTTAAGTTCTGTTCCCCAAATTTGTCAATTTCCTATTAGTTAACGATGTGATGCTTATACCCTATTTCTATTGTATACCTGTCTGTAATGAAAATACGGAGCAGCATCAGATGCAGAATTCAACTGCAGTTCATTGAGAACATCTTCTGGCATGGAAAAATTTTAAGTACCTATACAAGCTGTTGCTAACTATTTATTACACTTAAGACATGCCATCCTAGCTTGATTTTGAAAACGTCATGTGAAATACTGTCAGAAGTCATCCAAAAACCAAGATGACTTCTGACATCTAATTCTTTTCTCCCAGTAAGCTTTGTTATCTTGTCATAAAATAAAAAAAAAATTGCTATGACATGATTTGTTCTGAACTGCCATGCTGGCTGGAATTTATCTCCTTGTTGTCATTTAGATACTTAATATTGTTTGATTACTTTTTCAGGTTTTCAATTTAGAAGGTCTGCTCAAATATTTTGTGTCTTTTCTTTTCTTTTCTTTTCTTTTTTCTTTTCTTTTCTTTTCTCTTTTCTTTTCTTTTCTTTTCTTTTCTTCTTAACAAAAGTACCATATTTTCGCTATGCTTTACAAGTCCTTATGGGAAAACTGAAATTATTTCACTTGGCTCTCTACCTAAGATGAAATTTGTGCAGCGCAGCAACTTTGAAATCATTTAAGTATAGATTCACCTTTGCTCTCTCCAGGATAATCTGAAATCTTAAGTTCTTAATACTAATGCCATTGGTGTTAACACATCTCAGCATCCTAGTCAGCACTATCACAAAGGTGGCATTAAGCTACTCAGGTTTCTGATTCTTCAGAACAGTTTTTAGTAATTTCCCTTCTGACCAATTGAAAACTAATTACTTCAGTTTTCACAAGGCCATCACAATGTACCTCTGGAAATCTTATTACTTAATACACTTCAGATTTTTTTTTGTCCAAACTCATACACATTTTATAGAAAACTAGTAAGTCTCCACCCACTTCATGCTTCTGGGTAGATTTGCATGAACGGTGAGATCTCTTAATGTGTTGTGTTCTCATGGCACAAGACAAGACAGGTAGATACATTCAAGTTAACACATCTGCGGCTAGCTTGCCTATCTCTGTAATGCAGCCTGCAGCACCTCTGATTTTATTTCAACATCAGACTTACTGATATTTTTCTCGACTTCCTCCTTCAAGGTACTTGAACCTCTGTCTTCTTTAAGTTCACTGCATTTTTCCTCCCTAGATTTAAATTTTTGAAGCTCTGTATTTCAGTTATCTGCGTATCAGTAATAGTCACACACAGAAGGAAATAGAGAAATATCTCAGAATTTAATTTACCCCCTCCATATTATACTATACTTACTATTTTGAATCAGCTGGTGAAAATAAACCGTCAACTACAGAATTGTATTTACAAAGTTAGCCAGTGTTGGTTTTTGTTTTTTTTTTTCCTTCTAGTACTCTTCAATCTCTGAAGACCTTATTTTTTTACAGTAATTATATGGTTGGTGTTATTTCTGCTGCAACTAAAGGTCACTCTAGGACATATAAGGAAAAAAAAAGTACCCAGAACTGAGTAAAATGATTGGACTGTAAGACTCTTTTCAAATCTTTACTGCTTGAAAATGACTGCCCTACTCCCAAATGCATACGTTCTATTGGAAATTGCTAATTTCAAGAAACTGGTACCGTGCATTTGCAGTAGGGATGAATGAATATTACTCTGGCTGAACTCTGACACATTAAGGATAAGAGCAATGTAATACATTAAAATACAGTACTTAAAATGAATATAATGAGACTGAAACAAAATACGCTTGGAAAAAAAATGTTTGAAGTGTGACAGAAAGCTTAAGAGATAAATAGCAAAACAAGAATGTTACAGAATATGAAGTTGACATCAAGTAGTTGGTGCAAAACTAATGAGCATATAATCTAATTTTTCAGCTTCTTCATTTTCAATGAAGCACTGAAGCAAAACAAACAAAAAGTATAGTCATTAAACTGAGACAAATTAATTTTTGTAAGCTGCAAACTACAAAGGATACATGTTATAGGTGAACTTGATTTGCCCCTTTTTCTTAAAAGAAAGAAAAAAGAAAGAAAAAAAAAAGAAAATGCACTTGACAATGTAGTAAAGAGCTTCAAAAGAAAGATAGAGCTTATTGCATTGATTTGGTATGTTTTAATACGTTTGTAAATAGTAATAGAATCTGAGTTTGCCCAGAGAGAACTATACACACATATGTGCACATCTGAGGGTTTGAGATGCATTGGTTCCTCAGGTGGTGCACACGCACACACACAATAATATAATACATATTATGTAATATAATACTCTGAGATATTGTAACTAAAATATTATAAGCTGAGAAGCCATTATCTATATACTAAGTAAAATAGTGCTGCAGATTGTAGCATTAGTGATAAAGATGCATATTAAGAAATACACTGCTATCTTCTGCAACATGATCCAAATTAGAATACAGTAAGGAAAAAAAAATATATAAATAGGTTTTATGGGTATTTATAAGTGGGACATCTAACAGAGTTTCGTAGTGGGAAGAATATGTTTTTATAACACACATTTCCTTGAAAAGGAATTAGTTTGTTATTTGCATTCAGATTGTAAAGGTAACAGAATCTACTAATTTCATCAGTTTTTGGTTCAGTAATTTATCTAGAATTATATGTCAGTTGTCAGATTGTCTTCTGATTAATTCCCATTTCATACAGTAATAAAGACGTACAAAGTATGAAGGAAACAGAAATAAGACCTAAAGAAACATTATAGACAAACTTTCATTCCACAGGCTATTTCAGGTAGAACAGATTGCCATTTGCATGCTCTGTCTGTGAGTGGTCAGCAGGTTGCATTTATCATGGTGCATCCTGGACACAGGATGGGTAGGAAGCAGAAAACTCAGTAGCCCCACCTCACCACAATAATTTTTCCTTCCTTGACCTCAGAATTTATAGGCAGTCTTGCGAATGAAAATTTGCAGATACCAAACCAAAACAAATGTAAGAAGGCATAGCAAGACCAGAATCCTAAAAGCCTTTATAATTGTAAATGCTTCTGTGATGCCTTTTGAACAAAACTTATGTAAAGAACATAATCAGAGCTTGTACGGTTGCAGTCCCTGTATGTGCTCTTTCATCACAGGCTGTCTATGACCAGCAGCTCACTGCTTGGCATGAACACCAATGGCTCTGAGGAGTACTTCCACTCTACAAACCACGCAGAGCAAACGTTCCGCAAAATGGAAAATTATCTGCAGCAGAAACAGCTGTGCGATGTTCTTCTCATAGTAGGAGACCAGAAGATTCCAGCTCACAGGTACCTGCCCCACTTGGGTTTACACGGCTTCAAAGCCTGACATTTTCAAACACTAGGGAAATGTATGCCTACCCTGTCTGGTTATAAATGATCAGTTACTGCAGAAGTAGGTTATTAATTACCCTTTTAACTTTACTGCTCACTACTGTACGATTCAAATCCTACTGTAAGAGAATGTTTCTAAAACACACACACGCCATTTACTACAGAGTATTATTGAATTCCATGCTTGTTATGAATATTACGGAATAATGTGCAGCCCTCCTAAAATGCTTCTATTTCAAGGTTGGTTCTCAGTGCAGTGTCTGATTATTTTGCTGCAATGTTCACTAACGATGTACGTGAAGCAAAACAAGAGGAGATCAAGATGGAGGGAGTGGACCCGGATGCGCTGAAGGCTCTGGTGCGTTATGCCTACACAGGTAAGTCCTCCATCACCCACAGCTGCTATGTAGATATATATCTCCTGCTTGCTTTCCCTCAGTTTTCGGAATTTAACCTTATATTGTTGGACCTCAAAGGGTTGAACCAAGTAGCCAAGAAGACCAACTCAGAGAACTGTGAAATCGCTTTTACAAGCGCTATACCAAGCAGGGTAAAGCGACGCAGAACATAACTGCTGTGTACACAATCAGAAATATCCAGATCATTCAAACCTGTGCAATTGCTTCTGGATGTTTGTGTATTCTGTGTTTAGCAAGATACTCAGGAAGACGGCAGCCACCCAACCAGAAAGCTAAAACGCAAAGCCCTTTCCTCTTCCAAGCTATGAAGTTCTGTGGCAAAACACGCACAGCTCTTGAAAGGAGAAAATTGCTTCTCCACAAAGTACTAACACTAAAGCAAACAGAAAAACAGCTTTCTGAATTTACGAACATTTGCTGATAAACTGATCCACCTCCTCAGTTTGCACCTATCACCAGTAACATTCAATTTTTCCTTCTCAACTGATGTCCCACACAGGACATTCCTAGCTAGCTTTTGAGAATGGAATAGCACAATTTACATATCAAGACAGGGAGGCTGGAAGACATACTATAGGTATGTATCAATATTTGTATAGTACTCATACTTTAAAAAGGGGTTAGAATAACTATAGATTAAATTAAAACAAAGACTCCAATGTAATTAATATAATGGTATTATAATAAATGTCAAAAACAGAGGACTTCTTCGCTTGCTAGGTCAGGCACTTCATCAATCTTGACTGTTGTGTAAAGACACAAATCTCAAGAAAGATAAGCCATCTGCAATTCCAGATTGGAAACAGAAGTTTCTATACACAAAATAGACCCTTTATGTGCTTGTGGGTACAAGCAAGAAGATAAACACGGGCAGGAGGGAATGCTGCATAACATGCATAAGGCACTGAATAAACATAAATCACCCAAGGAAATAGATTAGACCGAATGCAAAGAAATGGTGGTGGGCTGCTTATTACCCACATGTATCTAAAAATCATCCCATCTAATTAAATTTCACCTCTTTCAGAATAGCATTTTAACGCTGGATATCAACTAGGGAATCAAAGTATCTACTAAGCACAAGAATGGATAATCTAATTAAATAAACACCTTCCAGTCTGTTTATGAACCTTAAAAAAATCTCACAATCACATAATCATTTCATAGATAAATGAGGAAATCAGGTTTCCTGCAAGCATTTACTGTTAGCATTTCCTAGCTATTGATACTGAAATTCTCGTGTGTAATACAAATTTATGATACATTTTTCAGGAACCCACACGTGAATCTTGGGAAAGGTTTTTGTCTAATCCCCTCTTTGTCTTTATTTCTTTTTTCAAGTAAAATCAGATCTGATAGTGTTAGAGTTTCAGTACAAATGTTCCAGTAATTTTATTCAAAATCCACCAAATCCTTTAAGTCTCTTAAGATGTGTTTAAAGACTCCTTCAGCATTAAAGGAAAATGAACCTGTGAATCACAGGCCACTTTTCAATTTATTTTTTTTTTTTGCAGGAACAGAAAAAGTAGGGAGTGGGAAGATTTCAAGTAAATAAAGTTACAAAGAAAATGACCGAAAACTTGTATTTTTTCCCTACATGCAAACTGCACAGGTATTCTAGAGTTAAAGGAAGACACTATAGAAAGTTTGCTAGCTGCAGCTTGTCTTCTCCAGCTATCCCAGGTCATTGAGGTATGCTGCAACTTTCTCATGAAGCAGCTCCATCCTTCCAACTGCCTGGGGATCCGCTCCTTTGGGGATGCTCAGGGCTGCACAGAGCTCCTGAAGGTGGCACACACATACACTATGGTAAGTTAAAGAATCTACCTGTTTTACAATTAGAATGTTAACATCAAGTGTGAATACTTTCCCAGAAAACATAGGGACTTTGGTGAAGCAGAGCAAGCTTTCTGAGCCTGATGCAGTGGCTGTGCTTTTCCTGCACTGGCAAAGTCCCTGACCTGGGGACATCTCTGCCTAGCTCAGACTCCAAAGAGAAATTTCAGGTCTGTGACTGTTACAGAAGCATTGGAAGGAGAGAAGAGTGTGCATGGAAAACCAAATATTCAGTAATGCTTCCTATTTCAGAATTTTGTTTTGTTTTGGAGAAGGAGACATTTACTGAACTGAAATTCGCATGATTGGCATGCATTTCTTAAAAAAAAAAAAAAAAAAAAGTAACAGGGCAATAACAGAGACAACGTCAAAAGGAAAAATAGTAATGGCCCATTCACATGTTGTTGATTCAACACCAAGAAAATTCCAAAGCTGATTTTAAGGTGAGGCACATACACAACAATATCCAAAATAAAGAATGTATGAGAAAAATTTGGAATGCTAAAAAGAAGCACATCTTTGACTGAAGCATAATCCTCCTCCGGCTGAAAGTGAGAAATGAATATTCAGTGTGGAAACAGAGAAGCAAGATAGCTGGCTGTGAAACCAAATCAAGGGATAAATATTCAGGGCATCAAGATGTGCTATAGCATCTTTAAACACAAAAAGAATAGCAACTGCTACAGCTAAATGGATATAAAAAGAACTCCTTGTTAGGAGACACATGGCAGCTTTATGCTTGAAATACTAGCACAGTATGTCAAAACCAGTTTAGAGGCTTCATAATGCTAAGAGCATTCCAGGAAGAGACTGCACACTTCCACATGATGAAGTAAATGAGAGTGGCAAGTGCAGATTGAGGGCACTGGTTGTGCTCCTTCCTGTCATACTAATGAACGGTTTGCTCAGCAGCTATCTAGATTTCTTTTATATTTTAAAGTTTGAAAAAGGACACTGAAGCTAGAAGGATCACTCAAGCCCTACATAACAGCATTGTCCTTGCTGCTCCATACTATTATATCCTCAGCTGAAAACAGGAAATTCCCCCCTCTGCTACCCCTTTTGTCTCACAAGTCCCAGCCACATGGGCCTCAACTGTAACTGTTTTAAATTCACAGACCAGATTTCTGAGCTGATTTTCAAAAGACATTGGAGAAAAGAGATTGTACCAATGCATGCACACAAACCGTTGTGGAAGAGGATAAATAAAACATTCTGTTTTGTGTCAGGCCAGCCTCAACCACTTGAAAATGTGTACCTCAGGGAAAAGACTATAAAGATGTACTGTAAATACAGAAATCATCCAAATGAACTAGTAACATTTAAACACTTACAGAAGATAAGCTATAAACACCACATCCATTCAACAAAAACAGACACAAAGGAAGCTTTTCCCTTCATCTACTTCAGCCATTGATGCAGAGTATTAAGTTTCCTGCCTAGTATCTTTACATGCAGATAGACATTGTTCTGATAAACATCTTGTACTATATTTGTACCTAAATGTGCACTGGCCTTCCTGTTCCTAATCTCTGAATGTCACAAAATATTAAAGCAGGATGTGCACAGCACAGAAAAGTTAACTTATCTTCTAATCACTAGTACTTCAATATTTATATACTCAGTAGAGTTCTCTTGTAAAGAGTGGCAGAAAGCTGAGACTACTGAAAATAAATAATACAAAGATCAGTAACTAAAATCTCTTCCTTTGTCCTATTTCTGATTTCTCATAGAATACATTTCTTCCAGGTACATAAATGGAAACTAATAGTCCAAATACAGGTACAATCCAACGTGCATTTTTCTCCATGTAACTTCAAAAAACAGCTAACAAAGTATTTCTCTGGAATTAGCATAAGCAAACATAAAATATCTCAATATCAATTCTAGTATTCTTGTACTGGCCTGTACAATGTAATACTTTTATGGAAAATAATTCTTTGAAAGGTTCAAACGATTTCATATTTGTGATCACGTCTGGAGTTGGTTGTTTTATCGTAACGCTAGATTATGGTATTAGACCACTTTCTCAAGATTTGCCCAGTTTGCATTTGCCCCTGAAGTACTGTCAGAAAAGTGAGTTTAATTTCCCTCCATTTTCTACTGCAGAGTAGAGACATACAGTCAGCACCAGACACGGCAAAGAACTGCAAATTGGAAGAGTTTAAAGCTTGGAAGTCCACTTTTAATGCAAATTATACACTTAATTTGAATACCCACCTACCATTCATAACATACACCATATATCTTCAAATTGTGTCTCTATTAAGATGCAGTGTTAAGACCACACTGATGGTGAAAACTGCCAGTAGCAAATCCATACCAACAGGAATCCTGCCAACTGCAGCCATAAGCATGGTAGTGGTGAAGTTGATCATTGGTCCTCAGCTCTATGAGAGCAAAGCTTCAAAGAGACACCAGTCTCCCTCAAATGGTAGAAGGGGGTTCCTTGACTTATAGAGTATCTATTATATTTCCCTACATCCTAGAACAAAACAGAACTACAGTATATGCAAAGACTATATTACCTAAGAAAAGGTTAATTCAAGGTGTGAAAATCATGAGTGCATTGAAATCTATTCTTTCCTTTTAGGAACATTTCACAGAAGTTATTAAAAACCAGGAATTTCTTTTACTCCCTGCTAATGAGATTGCAAAACTCCTGTCTAGCGATGACATCAATGTTCCAGATGAGGAGGTTATATTCCAGGCATTAATGATGTGGGTGAGACATGATTTGCAAAACCGGCAACAAGATCTGGGGATGCTTCTATCTTATATCAGACTGCCTCTACTTCCCCCTCAGGTATGGAAATGAAGGGCTAACAGGGGCCTTAACCGTAAACTGAAAACAAAACAACACCTGTAGAGAAGTACTGCTTGCTGCTTCTGATTTGTTGTTTCCTGATGTGGAAGTTTTTGTGGTTTTTTTTGTTAACTCCATAATAGGTATGATTATTATTTGTAATAGTAAGAATGTAAGATAGAAAAAAAAAAAGTAAATCCAATGATTGTGCTTACAATTATCTTTATAAACATTATCAGTCTCGTGGTATCTCAAAAGTACATTTCTTTCCCAGATAGCACTTTCTTTGTAGCTACATAGACTTTACTTACTGAAGTGCATCCAACTTTTAATGATGTAGATACACATAAGATCATCACTTTTCATTTCTTAGTTGCTAGCCGATCTAGAAAATAGTCCAATGTTTGCAGACGACCTAGAATGCCAGAAACTTCTCATGGAGGCTATGAAGTACCATCTCCTACCAGAAAGACGGTCTATGATGCAGAGCCCTCGAACAAAGCCTAGGAAGTCTACAGTGGGTGCACTTTATGCTGTAGGAGGTATGGATGCCACTAAAGGTAAGCTGAAATATTTATTTGTACTGAGTAATTGTATTACAGACACGCAGAGAATACATGACAGTTATTGAAAAGTTTGTTAGACAAACAGCAATTTAAAGATGGAAAAGGAGGGAAAAATTGCAGAAGTCAATCCCATATGTTAGATATTCTTCCTTCTTGCAAGCACCCTGTTTCTAAATAATATACATACAGCCGTAAGTTCAGACAAGATTCAAATAGTGATCTTAACATCCAAAATTTTGCAAGAATTTGTGCAAAATTTGATTTTACAAACCAGAAAAAAATTAACATTCAAAATATTTCAAGAAATATTTAACGTTATTTTAGAACCCTGCTGTTTTTTCAGGATCACATATAGAATTTTCTTCAGTTTTGTAGCTGAAAGCTAAATGCTATAGATATATTCCAGTTTTTATGATTTGATTTTCACAACTGCAACCGTTTTACAGCTTTACAAATTACACTATTCCATTTAGTAGGAAGTATATTAAACTACTTTCTACAGGACTCTTCTGCTCAGTGCCAAAAGAACTGTTATTAGTTTAAAGTCTAGTGACTTGCTGATCGGCATTACCTTTAGCTGTGCAAATTCACCATTAACAGAATCACAGAGCAGTTAATCCATTTCATGGTTTGGAAAAAGTTGCTGATGACTAACATTTCCTATGCAGTGCTACCTTACTACCCTCTGCAATCAAATCCAATGCAAACTGTGTGTTCATTGTGATTGTAACACGAAACATTCGTTCTCGGGACAATTTAGAAAAAGGAAGTGAAGCAATAACGACTAGTGAAATTTAATTAGCAATACTTGTTATTTATGAATGACATAAAATAACCAAGAACTCAAAATTACCCTTGAACTATTAAAAATTGGAATAAAATTTTATAATAGGTTTTTTTCAGTAAAGATTATACAAGGAATGGGCTATTTCAGTCAACATCTTCATATCCTGTTGGTGCCTTTTCTACTTATTACCTTGGAGTAAAGCCAGCTCTTTGAACTTTTGCCTTTTGATGGTTAGAAGAACAGCACTTCCTCTCCTCCCTGCTGTTCTCTATATCTCTGACTCATACCTTCAGCCTGAGCTGGACTGTAAGATAAAGGAAACAGAACCTAAGAGACTGTGAGACACTGGAAGAACATCTCTGAGAAGGGGAAAACTGAACCTCTGGCTAGAATGTGCTTTCTGTGATAAAGAAAACAAGAACTCAGAGAGTGCCAGGTTTGGCTTTGTGCTTATCTCAGGTGGTATATGAAGTCAAATCTCAACTTCAAATGATCAAGAGAAGATCAAAGAGCCACTTTCAGACTAGTATTTAAAAAAAAATGTAAATGTGCCTAAACTTGTGAAGCCTACTTTCAAGCCTCAGTAAAAATTACAGCTACAGGGTATGAACACACTGTACACCTTAATACATTTTTCCTTTTTTTTTTTTTTTTTTTTTTTTTTAAGAATGTGAGATACTTCTTTTTGAAGCTGAGAACTTTGGGGCACTCACATATTAGCATAAAATAAATGAGACAGAATCAAAGCAAAGAAGAGCAAGCAAAGTTTGCTCTGAGAGTTGCTCAGAATTAAATTTCTTTTATAGCAGATGGATCAGGTAGCTTCTTCCCTGATCTGTGTATCTGGAAAGGCACACAGAAGGCAACAAATGTATCACATAAGCTCTTGTTTCACTATATTTGTTGAGTATAGCAGCTGAACTTCAGCAGGTTTTACTGAAGAAAACATCTCTAAAGCAAACTATCTTTTCTGCATTAGTGCATGCTTGTTTTGCAGTCACAAACCATTTATCCATGAACTGCCTATTGTTATCCTCAACATACAAGTTCTCTCATTACAAATCTCAGTCAAGGAGCAGACAGGAAATCAGCTCTGTTTTTCTCATCTGGTTGCCTTCAGTTGAGCTGAAGTTGAGCTCCAGAGCGTGCTGCTTGTGCAACTGGCAACTGCCTCTTCCTGCCTCAGCACTGCTCAGCCGTTTTCCCTTTGTGCTAAATCAGCTCTCATGGGGGCAATTACAGCAGCTGAGTGTGACTGACAGGAGCCAGCAGATGGAAAAGAGTCAGTTTTGAATGGCAGGGAATTAGGGCCTTATGAATAGTTTCAGTAAAACCATGACCAGAAGTTCAGTGACCTGAAAAAACCGAAAAGGCAACTTACAGGTTACAGCAAACAATCAGTTACTGCAAGGCTGCACAGGTGAACCTCACAGAAGCTGCCCGTGGAAGGCAGACGTGCACTCAGACTTCAGCCTTCTGCCTGCCTCCACTGCACCAAGGAAACCAATGCAGACAGATTTATAGATGCACTTTTAGTTTTAGGGGGCAGTACTAATTTAGGCAAAAACATGGTTAACAAGTATATAGTTGTGAGGTATCATGCTCACAAAGAATTAAGAACAAATAAACCAACTACCCTAATACTATTTAACTGAGTGACAGATTTAACTTATCTACAATTGTTCAGTACTAAAAAAAAGCTGTAATTCTGCACCTTCCTATCAATGTTTTATTCCTATCTATTTGATAATTATATATGCATGCAATTAATACAGCTGTCCCACTGTTTACTCTTGTAACTGAAGCTCTCAGAAAGATGTAGCAAAGGTCAAAGTACAGAATTTCAGTCTCTTAAAATTTAATAATGTACAAAATGGACCAACTCCTGACTGCTGCACAGCGAGCAGTTCAAGGCTGTCTCATATTGCATCATATTATGGTTTCTAATAGGCACCACTACAATTGAAAAGTATGACCTTAGGACTAATAGCTGGTTACAAATTGGTACCATGAACGGCAGACGATTACAGTTTGGAGTTGCAGTAATTGACAACAAACTCTACATTGTGGGAGGAAGAGATGGTCTGAAAACCTCCAACATTGTTGAATGTTTCAACCCTATCACCAAAGTCTGGACTATAATGCCTCCTATGTCAACGCACAGACACGGCCTAGGTAAGAGATGCTGCATTTGAAAATACTTTGGATCACAAACAGATTCATTCTGACTGACAATTTTTTTAAGCCTTTACTAAAATGCAGCAATATTTGCAGAAGATATTTTTCAAAGACAAATTTGCCCATTGCCATAATTTTATGAAAGTGATATCTATTAGTATTTGCCTAAATTATAGTGGTCTTCCAGGGTTAATTTTGCTTTTATAAAACTCCAGAATACAAGCAGTAGGGAGAATAATCAACTTTTCATCCAATACAGCCGCCAAGGTGTATGTTTCCAATACAGAAACAACATGATTTTCAGCTTTTGAAAATAATGACTTAAGCTCATTGCTACCAAACACCTCTGAAAATCAGATCAGAGAGTTACCAGTGTTGAAGAAAACATTGCTGTTACAAAATTAGTACAACTTCACTAATTTCAATGTTGAAATTACAAGTTCCATAGTGCACAGCTACAGTCTGACACCTATGGCCTTTACTGCCCAGTAATCCTAGTATTCACAGTGAGTTAATAAAAAATCTAGAATACTCTTCTGCAACAATAAAAAATAAGTTTAACATTGAGACTGCGGGAGGGAATATGGCTTCTGAAAAACAAATAATAGTAAGAAGTAAAGGACAAGAAGGCAACACAGAATGAAGTCGCTATGCTATGGTTCTAGCCAACAAATAAGTTGCAGTAGTGAAGTCTTGAGTGCCCAGAGTCAGGCTTCTGTCTGTGTATCAGCCCAATTTGCAAAGCTGCCTTACGCTTACAGGTCCCATTAGTTTCAATGTGATTTTGTGGAAAGTACATTTGGAAAAAAAAAAATTAGGCCATGTATATTTAGACCTGAAAAGATGGATTTAGAAAACTTTTAAGCAGCCAAATTCCAACATCTTGCCTTACCTAAAAGGGAGCAAAGATCAGTGACAGGCGCAGCTTCCCAAAGGGGAGAGGCACCTCTTGCTGAGGATGGTAAATAACACAGGATGTGTTCACAGAGAGCTTTGAACAGACAGCCAAGTTCACTCTCCTGTGCCTCAAGGACAGCACATACAAGCCAGCTCTTATTTCCACTCACCAGGCACCAGAACAGTACAGTACAGGCAGTGAGGCCAGCCAGCTGCCATCCAGTTTGGCTTCATGCTGGTGGGACTACAGAGCTTCAGCTGGCTCAGAAGAAGGGACAGGTAGTTGGCTGCTCTGGGCAATTTTTTCATTGGCTCAAGGTTTTTGTTTTCTTTTTGCTTTGTTTTGTTTTGAAAGAAGAGCATTGTTTCTCATGTAGGGGGTGCAGATTTGATTCAGAACAAGGTCAACAGAACTGGGAGAAAAATTCCAAGAGAACATCAAAACTAAAGCAGCTTTCTTCTGATCTTTAGGCAAAAGATAATGCTTATTTTGAAAGATACTGTTGTACAAAATATTTTGTTTATCTTTGTTTATTCTTCTTAATGACAAGCCAGCTTTTAGTTAGCTTAATACCAGCTGAAATTGCTTATCTGTATACAAGCAATTAAAGCGAGAAGTTAATACTTTATAAGTCACCGAAATTATTAGATACAGTAATCTGTCCCTAATCTGTCCCTGTCCCCTATTCTTCAAGGAGTAGCAATGCTGGAAGGACCAATGTATGCTGTTGGTGGCCATGATGGCTGGAGTTACCTGAACACTGTAGAAAGATGGGACCCTCAAGCCCGGCAATGGAATTATGTTGCTAGCATGTCCACCCCCCGAAGCACTGTAGGGGTTGCAGCATTAAATAGCAAGTATGTCAGCAGGAAAAACTCTCTGCTTTTTCATTTACTTCCTTCCATTGAAATGCAGTTTCTTATATTTTCAATCTTACATAAATAAATATATATATATATAATATATAAAAATATATATAATAAATCACCACAAGAAAACAAAGAGAAAATGTAATGCACAAAAATAAGAAAGAAAAGCTTTTCCTCTATTATGTAGTAAACTGTTTTCTAAATAGCAGACATGTTTTAAACACTTTTCAAGTTAAGGCAATTTGAAAATCAAAATTTTACCTGGACTACTGATCAAATACCTTAAAAAAAATCCAAATTTATGTTTGCATTTTGAAATCAGTGTATCTAACGAGCACCATTTGAAATAACTTCCCCCTCTTCAGCAAAGAAACAGGAAAGCCTAGTAGAATAGGAAAACCTGGTAGAAAACATCAGGTTACACTGAGAAGTGTAGCTTGAGCGAATACTCCCTTTTATTTCAATCTGAGGTAGACAGCCTCTTAGTGCAGAGTTTGTCGGGGCCCAGAAAAGCTGCATGCAGAAATTTGTTTTTATCCTGAAACCTTATCAATGGCTTTCCTGCTCACTTCTTAAACTCCAGTGATTTATGAAAGAGAAGGATATAGAGTAAAAATGAAGATGTCAGATATTTGCAAACATAAATCTTCTTCATATACAACAACCAAGCCTCTGCAATAGAACATGACAAGATTTTAAACATTTATTAAAAAATCTGAGAGCAGTACAACTGTCTGTCCAAGTCCCTGTGCTATCCCAAAGGAAATGCTCTCAGCATAAGCTAGAAATTCCTGTGGGTGCCTTTCACAGGGATGTGCAGGAAACAACTTTGTCAGAGAGGAAATCCAGCCCAATCCCGACTCTGTTCTCAATCACTCTCGATATACCCTGTCTCCTGCCTGGCTTAAATCACGTCTGTTAGCTCAGTGATGTAATCACTGGCATAGCAGAGGAAGCCAAACTCAAACGTCCATCATTCAGTGCTACTGCTGCAGTCCAGCCGAGCAAAATGCTTCTCCTCTTTCTGTTTCCCTAAGGCATGCTGTATTTTCTTCTATTTAATCCTACCAGAAAACACATACTTCCAGTGGGGCAACACTTCTGAACAATAAAAGGTCTACTGAAAACATCAGTCAATAAAGGAATATGTGATTTCTCCTCAGGGAATGAGACGAGATTTTTAAAGATCTTTAGATGATTCCGGGTATGCTAGGGAAAAAGAACAATCTGCTTGCAAAGTCAGAGATTTCCTCTCTCTGTGAAAGCTGTGTAAACAAGTAGACTGTATCTAAGAGTAAGGTATGAAAAGAAAAAAAATCCCATTCTCAAGTCTTTTTATGGGCCAAGCAAAAAACTGCACAACAGGACTCAAGCCTGTGTTCGACTCACAAACATTAGAAGATAGAACTAAAATTTTTGTATTGCTCTAGAAGTCAAGATTGTTCTTTTGAAATCCTACATCAGAGCAGTGTAAAACTTATCCCAGTCACTGGAGAAAGACAAGCACATCTTAAGCAAAATTCAGCTAACTGGATTTGGGTGACTCGCTCTGGACAAGCTGAGGTGCTCGCTAGGTCTCTAATTAATTGCACTAAAAAACCCTTCATTTCATAGCAGTAAGTAATGGCCAGAGTGGGAAAAGGATCTGAACAGCCTGGCACAGTTGACATCCACTATGTATACTACCACAGTCTAGCAGCACCAAAGCTAGCTAGAAATACAAAAGAGATTCAGACTTCATAAAATTGATTGACAAAGAGACACAAACTGCTTCTTAATGAGGATTTCCACTGTTCCCCTTTATAAGTTGTCATATTTTGTTTCAACAAGAGCTAGTTTGAATCTCCAGTAGTTTGCTAAGTGCCTTTAATGCAGAAAAGATGAGAAGACCTATCAGTAAGGTAAATTCTGTCCTAAAGATTTTCTTAAATACAAACACTGAGGAAAATATACTTAATAAACATTTGTCATAAGTTTTTGAAACATAATGATAGCATTGAAGTTTTCATTACGTATTAATGGTATAGGAAAATTGCTTAATGTCAAATATTTCATAAGACTGACAAAGAAAATACTCCAACTGTGTTACAAACATTAGTAGTGCTTCTCATAAATTTCACCTATTGCTTAACATTTAGAGATGATACAGACTTTTAATTTTCTTACGTGACTGCTTGAAGCTACATTATAAAATGAAGAAAATACAGCATGAAAAACCCATTGTGCAGAGAAAGTTCCAGAGCAAAGTGGCCAGAGAGCAAATATAAGGCATACTGGGAATTTTAAAATGGTCTGAATAAAGTTAATATAATATTCTTATTAAAAGGACTGAAATTGTTTGTCTTCCTGTGGGTAATTATCCCAGACTGTATGCAGTTGGTGGACGAGATGGGAGCTCCTGCTTAAAATCAATGGAATGTTTTGATCCACATACAAACAAGTGGAGCCTATGTGCTTCAATGTCCAAGAGAAGAGGCGGTGTAGGTGTTGCAACATACAATGGGTTTTTATATGCTGTGGGAGGTCACGATGCACCTGCTTCCAACCACTGCTCTCGACTTTCCGACTGTGTAGAAAGGTAAGGACATTTTTCTTTTCTAAACACTTCAGAAAATATAAAAATGCAGCAAGGGAAATCTCTTCAGAATTGGAACATTACCTTTGTATAACATATTATGCTTTGTAGAATAATATTTTTGAGCATAAGAACTGATTTGCAATGATTTTGTGCTAACAAAACAGCTGCCACGTGAAAATTTCAACTTGTTCTCACGTCTACTGGAACTGACCGAGGTTAAGACAACTCAACAATACGATGAACTTAACATGGGGATTTGTATTTCTCAGGTGCCAAAATTCAGCTTTGGGCTACATCTCTCATTTACTATAGGAACAAAACTTAAAAAGTTTTAAGTTAAAAAAATCAGGAAAAAAACTTTTCAATTGTCTCTTCCTCCAACAGTTTGGCTCATGTTGACCAACGTGATAAAAACTATATGAGATACAAACTTTGCTTAAGATCATGAGTTACATAATTAACTTTGTGAGATTATTTTGTGGTGAAACGTTTCTGGAAATGTCACTGAGAAGAAACAGAAAACATAAATCTTTATGGTGGAAGAAAAAAATGCTCTGAAACGAACTTTTCTGACTCAATTGCTGCCATGGTATCATTCCCTCAGGCTTCACCTATGTTCAAAACACACTGATTGTTAATCTGATAGAAATGTATACTTTATCACACAAAGTGAAAATAAGGGCTTGAAGATCCCTCTAGTGGCTAAATAAAGAATTCAATCTTATTCCTCATGATTCTTTACGGTAGTTCATAACATAAGCTAAACTCCAGTATAGGGGAAAAGAAGTAAGCATCAGCTTTTAAAATCTGGAATATCAATGTAATTTTACAACGTATTTTTCTAATTTTGATCATAAAACATTTCAGGTATGACCCTAAAACAGACACTTGGACAACAGTGGCTCCGTTGAGCGTACCCCGGGATGCTGTTGGAATTTGCCCTCTGGGGGACAGACTTTATGCTGTTGGTGGCTATGATGGCCACACATACCTGGATACTGTGGAGTCTTACGATGCTCAAAATAACGAGTGGACAGAGGTAATTAAAAATAGCAAGACCTATCTGAATAGGAAAAGCGAAAACGATTACATTGCAAAAGGGTTTTGTGAAAAATGATATATGTTAAGATGAAATAATGCTAATTAAAAGTATTTATTTAACTGGGAGTGCTTCTTTACCAAACATCATTAGAGCTGCAATGCCCTTGTTGGCAATGCCCTCTACTGGAGGGCACTTTCAACTTTTCACATTAAACACCATCAACATTGAGACCATAAGAAAGCATTAAAACTGTCAAGATTCTTTTTTAGCTACACAGTCCATGGTTTTGGATAAAAGGATATGCAAGTTTTTTACAATAACTAAAAGCAACACCCCCAACCTACTCCCCAATAGTCCTCAGCAGCTGCAAAACACTTTAAAAAAAACCTCAGACTGTTTTCACAGCTCTAATTAAATCTGTTTTTCGAGTGGTACATTAGTGTGAATAAACATATTGCTTTCCTTTTAATCTATAAGTAACTTATCTAGCCTGTCCATAAAAGTCTACTAAAAGTGCTTTGTCCTTTTTCACTTTCTTTTTGTTTTTAAGGAAGTTCCTGTCAATATTGGAAGGGCTGGAGCGTGTGTTGTTGTTGTGAAGTTGCCATGATGTCCATACACACTGTGAAACCAATCCGTGAGTGGGGTTTCATGAAAACTGAGCTAGAGAAGAAACATTTCTAGAAGGCAGGACAGCCCATAAACATCGTAACAGTCCTTCATCATAGAGAATAATTATATTGGGGCCATAACGTTATTAGAGCACAAGACTGGAGTCTTCCTGCACTGCAAAATCCAGATAATTTTGAAAAAGTGAATTATTTTTTAATGCCTAATGCATAAAAATCAGATGATATGTTTAAGTGGTTCAGGTTTGTTACAGAAATTTATCTGTTATTTATAAAATGCAGTAGTAAGGTGATGAATGGATGTATAAGAGTTCATAAACCTTTTTCTTTTTTATGTTAGTGGTAATGCTAATGTTTATAAAAAGAGATTTTGTATTTTAAGTAAACAAAAATGAATAAAAGAGAAATACCTTCAAAACAAAACTGTACAGAAGGAAATCAAATGGACATCAAATGTATTTGGCAACAGAATATTCTCCGTAGAAGAAACTTCATTTCTAGATTCAGAAGTTAGATCACTAAATTAACTTCAAAATAATCATGTAATAAATCAAAGAGAAGCACAGAATGTCTTTGCTATTCCACAGTAAGGAGAAAAAATATCCATTTTTAGCAGTATTTTCAACCGGATTGTACAAGAACTAGTAGGGCTAAAATATCTTTGTTTTCTTATGTACGTGCCAACTGGAAAATCTCATTTGCCAAAACAATACTAATATAATTTCCAATCACTTTCACAGTGCATCTGTATGTGATATTTTAATTCCAACCAGTGTGTCAGGTTATTGGTGGATTTGTCTTTGCCCACTAACCATCTGTTAGCATTATGTTAAACTTACTTGGCTATTCATGGACTAATCACCATGCACTAAATTAAAAAATATATATATATATATCATATAATTGCATTCACTGAATATAACTTACAAAATGAAGTTTTTATATCATATTGATATGATGATCCTTGATCTCAGCTGAAGATTACCAGCTTTGTCATGTACAGTAGAAAATCACATGCACTGTGCAACGGTCTATACCACTAATACAAGCATGTTCATGTTTTGAGATGATTAATGAATATTTACATGCATGAGGTTTTCTTTTTGTGTGCCAATTTTTAATGAAGTTTTCATTTTCTTTCAGTAGTTTCATTCTTGATAATTTCAAATGCTGTAAGTGTATTTTAAAGGAAGAATGTATGTAAGATATTCTATGTCGTAAAGCACACTATTTGGGCAGTATCTACTTCAGTGTTATATCGTTGTTTTGTCAGTATTAGAAAATTCAGAACAGACATGAAATCTCCCTGAAGACACAACTATGTGACTAACTTTCCTGACAGAATGTCTTTTCAGAAATCAGCAATATGGTATTTTAACAAATATATAGTATTTATCATATTGAACCCTTCTAAAAAGAAAATCTTGTAAGCATATTTATAAAAAGACAGAAACATTTTTAACTTTAAATATTAATTAAAATTATGTTTATATGAAGCATGCTACAAAAAAAATAAACTTAACTTTCTCTGCTAAGAAAATTTAATGATGTTTTAACAACTTTGCCTTTTTATTGTACTGCTCAAGAATAGAAAACAGAAGTACCATTTTTCATGGTCCAAAAGAACATAATTCTGCTTAATTCTCCTCACTGCCTCTGCTCCACAGAAATTACAATTTACCTTCAATTTCACAAGATTTAACTGCTAGAAGTTTGGGGGCTTTTGTTGTTTATTGCTGTTGTTTTGGTTATTTTTCTCCTTTCTTTCTCCAAGTCAAAACTAGCCACCACTACCACAGGCAGCTTGTGAAGTTGTTTGACTACTTGGATTTTGTAACTAATGATTGCACATAGACTTGTGCACAACAGGTGAATGTAGAACAGCCAATTTTATGAGAAATGATGACAAGGATTATCACGACCTTAAAATTAGAAGTGGTAGAAAACAAAAATAAACTTTAAACACACATGTGAATTAAGGCAATAAAACAGGACCATGAACTTTCCGGAGAAAGCAGTTCTGCAGCACTTTTAGTACTAAAGTTTGTTTTCTTCCACAATATTTGTACAGCAGTGGAAAGTTATGAGAAAGGAAGCCAACAGCTAGCAAAAGGAAATTGGAAACCTAACAGGAAGACAGAAGAAAAACAAACTGGAATGAATTTGGAGACATCTAGACATTATTAGGTGAGAGGGAGCATTAGAGATGAGGTGTCATCCCTGCACATTTCCTCTGCTTCTCCAAACATGAGGAGCAGTGACAATTTTGTTAACATCTTTGCTTATCACCCTGACAGCTGCAGGCACAGCTTCCCACAGAGAGATTTCATTTTATTGATTAGAATTAATTTCTGGAAGGATTAAACTGAACTTTTGCAATAGCCACCGTGGATTTAATATTTCTAATTGGTAGTATGGTAAGAATAACTGCAGGCAGTATGTGAGCCTCATCTCTTACTTCCCTATCTCATCTTACAGGAGAGAGGAAAAGGAAAAAACAGAGAACCTTCCACTGTCCCTTTCCCTTAAAAAGATGAACAACTGCTTTTTTTCCACAGTAAAGCTATATTCTGTTTATCTTTAAGATCTCTTGACTTCATCCCTTGTCAAAGGAAGCTAACAACACAATGCTAGTTGAACCTTTCCCTCTTTTCAGCACAACTCCACAGCATTGTTCACACACAGTCATCACAGTCATTAAGCATTATTCACCTTCCTCATAGCCATATCCTCAAGGCCCTCTTTTCCTCCATCACAGTCCTACGTAAGCCAGAGGAATGACAATTTTTGTCCTTTTGGACATTAACAATCATGTTTATGGAATGTAGAGAGGAGGACTGCATTACGTTCACAACATCAACATTTACACGAGCCAGCTGTGTAAGACTAAGAAGGAAAAATACCTAAGCAATAACTGGAAGATAACTCAGAATTATTTAGAAATGAACTACTGAGTGTGTCATTTTAAGCACAGAAGGTGGTTTTTTGTTTGTTTTTGTTTGGTTTTTTTGGTTTGTTTTTTTGTTTTTTTAATAATATTAGAAAAGCTACATATGAAAACATGCCTGAATTTATTTCAGCAGGAAGTCTAAACAGAAGGCACTTCCACTTTCCTTTCATTTCTGCATAGAAATGAATCTGTTGTGGTCAAACTCACTGTCCAAAAAACGTCTCCACTTAAAGGAATTGGTAGGAAAATAAAGGTTAGCCCCACATTTTTCTTCATCCTGAAAATCATAAAAAGTTGCAGGATGGGATGTGGAGACTAGAATAATTTCTGGCAAGACTGTGTGAGATTGAATAGAAAACCAAGTTATCAACTGCGTTAGGATTTTGGCTTTCAAGGAAGATTTCTTCCATTTTCTTACATTTGCTCTTGGTCAGACCTTCTCTTGGCAGCAACAGGCAGCATTCCCTGATTTATTGGAGAGGCAGTCTCTCAAACCCATAAAAATGGTCCATGTTAGGAAGTTTCTGATGCTCAAACTTACTGAAACCCCTTTGCTGAGTGAGGCCAGGGAGTGGGACAGACTGCACAGGGGACCAGTAATGCTGGTGGGCTGGGAGCTGCGTGCAGCTTTTTCAAAAGGCACAGCTGGTACCCACTAAGGAACATGTCCTCAAGCATGTGTCTCAGTGTAAATATATTTTCTTCTCTATTAGACATAGGTGTAAAAAGCACACAGGAAATTAAACAAGCAAACAAACCAAGCAGCTTGGCAGCTGGATGGAATACTAAAGCTTCTGCCTTTGAGAATGAAGCACCCTTCACAACTGTACAAATGATACATACAAATATTATCAAAACAATACACTAAAGGTTTTGGTCTCTAACCAAGTTTTCTCTTCTCTTCTGAAAATTTACCTTTCTTCTGAACTCTATAATTCCCTATCTGCATTGTTTGCAGTTATTACATACTTGAAACTGTCTGGGGTAAATTCCTTTTATGTTTTCTTGTTTTGGTCCCCTCATGTACACTTATAGAACTGCTCCCCTCTGGCCACATCATTTTTAACCTTTAAAGCATCATAAACATCTCTCTATTCAATTGCAAAACAGATTATTACAAAAGCATTGCAATATCCCTGTGACACCCTGCAGCCAGGAAAGCATTTGGAAATGCAGAAAATATGAAGAAAAATATCATAGGGGGAAAAAAAAAAAAGAACACAATTTTTAATTTCTGCATAAGACAGTGTCTCTAAACCACATTCTCAGCTGATCGGTGTTAGATGCCTTAGAACTGCAGAAAATAGAGATCAAATAGCCTACATCCAAAAATGCATCAGACCTATGCCAGCATTCCCGCAGTCTGTGCAGTAAGGTGGGATCTTCCCAACAAGGTGACACCCACTTCATTCTGTACATAGGGGTTTTCTTGTTGCAAGTTGCCTTACATTTTTCTGACACGGCGAGAAAGACACAAGCAGTTACAGCACAGCCCCCCTCATGACCCGAGCCCTCCGTGCCAGCAGGTCGGATACGAAAGGCCCGGGCGCGCAGACTGAGCGCTGAGCTCCGCCCCGTGAGTCCCTGTCAGGCTTACCGAGCTGCAGTGCAGGGCTTGCTCAGGAGATGGCGCGATGCGATCATTTTTAGCAGGCCCTGCCGCCTACCGAGGGACTGAAGCTCCCTTGTGGTGGCGTTTATCCATTGCATTTAAGTAAACTCTTCCCTATCTCACAATCCCGAGAGCCCGCTGCAGCTTTTAGAGAAGCTGTTTCCCATCCCCGCACTTCCCCCACACGCTCACTCACTGCTGACCTCGTAAGAGCAATTCTCACACCAAAGTTACAGCGAAGCAGCATCCCGAAAGATCCGTGCCCCACTCTCGTGCCTGTCCGCGGCATAGCGCGTTCAAACAACGGCTGTGGTTTTGCTCGCTTTGCATTTGCTTGGCTTGCAGAGCGCGAATCATGCAAACCGCTTCTTCAGTTGCGAAGGCTCCCGGGAGTTCAGAAGGGTTCTGAACGTACAACACGAAAAAATGCAGCTCGTGAATTGTTTTTCAGTTTACAGCCAGCTTCATATGATTGTACCCAAGACAGCTCCACTTGCAACAAAAATTTTTAATGAGGAAAATATAAATCCTTATGGGTGGGAATGCTAAGTGTATCAGCACTCAAAAACTTCCCTTTACTGCGCCATCCTAAAATCGAAAGGATAACTATTCATTACTGAACAGTCCTGATCTCAGCATTATTCTGAGCTCAGGGATTTCTGACTCTGCTCTATTTAGGCAAGTAAAAACCATAAACATAATATTCTAATAAATACCAGTATTATATTGCAAAACTTTCCGAGTATGCTTCTCCATTTTCAGAAACCGCCCTCCTCCCCCTCCACACACAAAACTGTCTTGATTTTGGAGGCTTGATCTCAGAGATAAAAGCAGTAGAGATAAAAGGAGACACAAATCCAGGTGGATTTGATGCCTCAGCTTCCCAAGCTGCGCATCCTCCAACTCAGCCCTTATAGAAGGCAGAGCCAAAATACACAACAGCTACATCAGCAATCTGTCTTTCCCTCCTCATCACCAACCAATCAAAAGTCCTCCAACTTCTTCCAAAATTTGAAAGCATCATTTCTCTAGAGAATGGCTAGCCTATTCTACCCATTATCTGCTCTTCTATTCTCACCAACTCCCTAAAACAAACATCCTGCCTTTAAATTCCCTGGGCCCCTACATGCAAACTGCCTGGCTTTCCTACCTTTGAGCTTGCTGTCAAAGATTTAGCTCAATAGTTATGCGATGGGACCTTCACATAACAGTGTGCAAGATAAAAGGCCAGTTGTCAGTGAAGTTGTCCAAGGGGGAATAGTTTACATTGCAGGCATTCAAATGTATCTTCATCTTTCTTAAAATAAAGATAAAATCAGCATTTCTAGATTAAAAAACAAAAAACAAAAAACAAGAAAACCTCCAAAAAAGAGAACACTGAATGTTTGTATAGTTTCCAAACAACTGACGATAATTGAAAAAACATATTCTGCCGAAGACATTTCTGATAAGAATTGATTATCAAAGACCTCATTAATTTCTTTCACTCTACACAGTTTGTATTGAACAATAGTAAACAAAAAGTCTAGTGATGATTGTGTCTTTACAACTTCAAGTATTACACTGATACTCAGAAAAACATGTGCTTGCCAGATTCACAGTTGGGAGAAATTGTTCCCCCTATAAAGAAAAATTGATTTTAATCACACTTGGTAATCAGATTCTTTTGTGAAAAAGGGGCCTGCAGCTGGTAGATGGAATCAAACACACTTTAAAAATAAAGAGAAATCATTGTGGCGTGATTTTTTCCCAAGAAACATTGTACACACTTCATTAACAATATTCTACAAAAATGAGAAAGATTGGAGAGAACAGGTCAGGCACCAAAACAGACATTGAAGAGTAGGGAAAAAAAAGCAAAAAGAAAACTCAAAGGAATAAA